CGATCCACTTCTTCACACAAAGCGGTTCAACACCTTTGCCGAAGCGGCAACACATGGGTGGTAGCACAACTGTGGATGGCCCAGCGGCGTCCCAACAGGTGTCCCCACGGCCAAGCGGCTGACATGTTACAAGAGACTGCAGCAACATAGGTACGTCACACAGTTCGTCTGCCAAACACCCAGATCGAAGATGGTGGATTTTCCTGTGGTGAGAGATGATCACGGTAGATCCACCAAAACGAAACGCTTCGGGCATGGCAGTCTGCGTGGAACCAGGTGAAGACATGTGTCAAAACCCAAAAGTATCAACTAAGTCAGTCATGTATTTCTCAATGTGCATTGCTACGCAGTTAAACAGCGGACTAGAAGCAGGAGTGGGACACACTGTCCATCTCATCACACTTCCCTCCATCGCACCACCTCCGTCGCCCCGCGGCCACCTCCGTCGACTCTTGCAGCGCTTCCGGGTGCAAGCCTCGGCCGCCGGAACGGACCGCGCGGAGCAGAAAGGCTTGGATTGGCGGAACTGGGTCAAAGGTAAAGATGTTTTGGAGGGGATTGACCTGGTCAGACCAAGGAAAAAGGTCATGTCTGGTATACACATGGTTGGAGTGGGAGATGGGGTAGTCCCATATGATGATTGACCCGGACCCCAAAATCTAGCCACCCCAGACCACACCAGAAAAAGGATGAAAAAGGTTCGGTCTCCTGGTTCTCAAGGGTGTTTGAGCAGTTGCGCCCTCTTGCAGGTGTCCGTGACCTGTGACGTCGAGTGGTCAAACTATGACGTTTTCACTTCGGTAACTAAGGTAAAGCTCAAGGAAAAGCTCTCATCCTCAAAGAAGGGAAGAGACTATGAACAGTCGTTCAGGTAGTCTTCAGTACCCCCTCGAAGTCCAAGCCACTTTAACGAATGGTCTTCCGGTTGCCGCGAGTTCAGGAAGTTCCTCTACTTTTCACAGTGGGGCGTCCCAGACCTCTATTCTATGGAGGGCGTCACAGGTCGCCCTCGTTGGCTCCGTGTCTGCGCCGCTCAGGTCGCGCCTCGCGGCCAAACGTTCGCTCGGAGCCGTCGGATCTCCTCGATCATGTCATCGAAGCTCTGACCTGTTGGAGATCGCAAGGCAAAAGGGGACCGGGGAACGCGGGATCTGAGTGATCTGAGGCCGTTCTCGACATGTTGAGCAGTCCCGCGAACATCTGAGATCCTTTGGTCTTCTTCGGGTATATGTACAATCACAATCAATCACATACAGTATATGTTAGCTCCCGAGAAGGTACCGCTTGAATCCGCTTGATACTCCAAGCAGGGCCACAGGAAGTCCTCGTTCGATGACGCTGCAGTTCGGAAACTCTGCTCCATGCGCCGCAAAACCCCGCAAATAAATGATGTAACATGTAGTGTTGCGTTATGTATAGCAGGCTGGAAAGGGGCCCTTCGCTACGAGTACAAATCAGATCAAAATTTTCTCCACGCGCTCTCTCTCTCTCTCTCTCTCTCATTCATCTCTCATCTCTGTATCACTATCAGTTGTTCATTTACAATTACTACGTTTCTATACGTTTCTCTCAATTGACCTTTTGATCCACGAACGCGTGGCCACCCTGCCATACCCTGCCACCGTGCCTATAGGTGCTTGGAGCTCTTGGGGAGGGCTGGGCGCGCGCACCTTGGGCCATGGCGAGGCCCACTGAAGCGAGCGCTTGGGCACCTCGCTTCAGAACCACCCACCGCTGAAACCCCCTCTGGACCATGGTCTTTGACGGTGTCTAATTGGTGGTTTGACAAGTGGTGCAAACTGTCTCGACTCGGGTCTTCGAAATGTGTCTGTGACAAGTCTGGTCTTGATGTGTCTTGATAGATCGGGGACCCTTCCATGTCGCTTGTTTCAATGTGTTTCATGTTGTTTCTGCACCAGGGACAACCGACTGGAGGGTCCACTGGACCCTCCAGTCGGTGGTGCTGCAGACAGATGCCAGTCCTTGGATTTGTGATGCCATGGCTGCCATGGCATCACGAAACATCCCAATCTGCCCTTCCAACGGATGAAACACCAGGATCCTCTACGCTCCACCCAGTTCACTCCCCCCCTCCACCTAGGTGTGAGAGAATGAAACTGAATGTTCCTTCCTCCGCCCTCGCGTCCTCCGGCGTCCGGGCCGTTCATCCTGGGCTTCCAAACCACGCGGGGCGACCTGAGGGCGTTCCGTCCGGGACGTGGCGAGGGACGTGGGACGCGACGGCTCTGGGCTGTTGAAGCAAGGAAAGGACGTGTCCCTGAGCAGAGCTGGGCCATGTCATGTCCAGGTCTGACAGGATTTTGAAGATCATGAAGATCTATATCATGGTCCAACTACTGTAAGTTGTAGGCTTGGCAAGCTCGACAACAGGTCCAGTGCCAGCACTTGTGAGGTGAAGACTACTCTGACTCACCTTCCATGGCAGTGGATGTGGATGGTTTTGTTGGAAGCCCACTTTCCTCTACCAACAGGTAGTGCCCACATCCATCCGATGTGCGAACATCAGTGTATCGGCTCCATCCACATGCGCCGCTGGTTCTTCGGCCCTCGCTGCCTTCGCGCCGCCGCCATGGGGGTGACCTGGATCCAGTGTGTCACGGCCAAAGCGGAGACGCCGCTGGGGGTGACGAGGAGACCTGGGTGAAAATTCCAGCTTCTTCAGCCACATGGGCTCCGTTTGGGGTGCTTGGAGCTATTTTTTGGTGGGGAATGATCGCGATCATTCAAATCCAGCATATCTGAATGGATGGTGACATAGTAGAATCATCAAAGGCCTGTCCATGAAAGCTTCTTAGTATTGGGTATATAGTCAGTCCATCTGGTGGCCATTACAACGATGTCACCCTGCTGGCTTCAAGGCCGGCAAAGAGAATCACCATCGAAATCATCGCTGCTCGGCTCAATGAAATTGATGATGGAATCATGCAGATAATAGTATTCATGTTGAATCGCGAATCATCTTCAACCAGTATCGGTTTCCGCGTCCGCGGGAGTGCTGTTGTCGTACACGGAGTGAGCCCCGTCGGGGGCACCTTGGAAGCCACACCTTCTGAGCCCTGAACTATGCTCGAAGGTACTCGGAACTAGGTAGGGCAACTGGCTGGACAGTGGCATCGGCTCCCACCCTGCCCTGGAGCCCTCTGAAATCCAGCCACTGGACCATACTGGACCCACCAAACACAATCAATCTTCCCTCTAGGTCGAGAATGCGGGAGTTCCTTCCTTCAACAGCTGGGAAGTCTTGGGCGCAGCGTGACGGACTCGCCTCATAGCCGAAGCTTCGCCAGGCCATGCCGGGCAGCCTCGCGACTCGGTCGCGAGGAAACGCCAGCCCTCCTCCGCTCCCAGCTTGGAGCCTTGGACTGTTTTGTTTGATAGCTTTTCACTGAACAGCCATTGCTTTACTAAGGGTACTAAGGATTTCTGTGAATAGTCTTGGAAGGCAACAACATGAATCTCTACAAGACTCTACAACTATACTGCCCACTACTGCCCACAAATTGTCTGGTTGGGATGAGGTCATGTGTCTTTTTTTTGGGGGCGGGATAACTTAGAAACCGTTGGAAGCCCATTCTATGAGTTCTATGGTGCCCCACGAGCACCTACAGGGCTTCCCCACCCACCTCTCACCCATCTCCCGCCTCGGTCATGAGGCTCACTCCGCATCCGCCCCGTCCGCCCCCCGCCGCACCCGTTCCAGCGGTCAAGTCTTTGGAGCTTCGCTTGGAGTGGCAGCGGTGGAGCGAAACGCTTGGACCGGTGCTTCGCGGCCGTGTCTTTTTCGACTGCTGAGGGGTTCAGGGAACTGAACGACCATCTTCCGCAAGCCAGTTCGGTGGGTGGGAAGGGGAAGAGGAGAACATGTCCACTGGAATTGTCCCAAGATCGGTGCTTGCGGAGCGAACCCGATGTCTCGGTGGCAAAACTGGCAAAAAGACCCAAAACTAGCCTTGTTGGACACCCAGCGCATGAGCAAACCTTCCTCGCAGCTCCCTCTCGCTCTCTTTCTCTCTGTTTTTCTTTCTTTCTGTCTTTCTTTCTTTCTTTCGTTCGTTCTTTCTTTCTTTCTGTCTTTCTTTCTTTCTTTCTTTCTGTCTGTCTGTCTGTCTTTCTTTCTTTCTTTCTTTCTTTCTTCAAAGTCAAGAACTGCAGCGCAGCCGTCCGATTGCCAGTTTCACCCTCCTTTTTCCTGCAAACATGTCGTCTGCTGCGCCTCTCTTCCCCCATGAATCACCACGCAGGGACCCTCACTGCACATCTGTCAAGCCAGTAGAAGGCTGAAAGGCTGGACGCTGATCGGCTACAGGGATCTGGGCCAGGTCTTTTCGCATGTGCAACCCTTCGGTCAAGAGCCTGGTTGGTTTTCTGGCTCACAGACTGTGAGACAATGGAGAGCTCGGATCGGCATCAACTTGGGTGATTGTAAGTCTGCAAGTGTTGGGAAATATATGATTATGAAGTATATATACGGTCAAAATTCATTACGTGCGGCTGTTGCATCGTCATAGTGAGTCCCACTGTTTTGGAACCTCGTTAAAGGGTATCGTTTTTTGAGTCCCCTATCGTTCGCCAGGGTTTGGAGCATGCCAACATATGAATGCAACGCCCTTATTAAATGCCATTGTCATCATCGCTGACATGAAGGTTCGTGAATTTGAAACATACCCAGCGCAGCCCTGGAATTCCCGTCTGGTGTCAACTTGGCAAAGCTGTCTACTTGGCCCATTCCCACATGCCTTGGTCTTGCATAAAACTGCAGGCCATGATGCTCAACATCATGAATTGGCCTCCCACATCTGGACACCGACACCTCCCACATCTGACCGCCCTATCACGCGGCCAAGGCCTCCACGCCAATTCAATGAGAAAGATTCAACAAAAAAGAGCTCCTACAGTAAGTCCTCTGGCTAAATGGATCACCACTCAAGAGACCACTCTTCATGTCCACTGAGGCTCTGAAATCGGCACAAGGACCTCTTTTAGGCTGCCACTTCACGTTGGGACGCTGTTTCAGTGGCCTTCTCCTGGAGGGATCAGGAGGAAATCCAAGTCCACGCGGGAAAAATGACAAGTCGCATCTTCCAGTCGCAAGTCGCATCTTCCAGGTGGTGAATGAGATGTCTGTTGCTGCTGGGGGCCCGGTTTCAAGCTTGCTCAGCTTACTCCCAAGAATCTGGACCACACACATCCATCATCTGGAAAACCCCATGAAGGAGACGGAGAAAAAAGACACGGCGACGAACATGGCGAAGAAACAATGACAACGAATAAGACCACCACCACCATCCACCACCACCACCACCACAACAACAACAATAACAGCAGCACAATCAACAAGCACGACCAAAACAGCAAGCCAAATAGCTGAGTTGCTGATCCCCAACCCACGGCAGCGGAGGCAATCGACTGCCTCATGTAACATCTCGTGCATTATCGGCTTCACTGGGACAAGAATGGAGATCATCCAACCCCAGACCATCCATGTATATCCATGTGTGAGATAGTTACCTACATTGCAGTCTTACATGGGGTAAATGATGGTAAATGTATGTAACTATTCCATGTACATGGATGGCCTGGAAACTGTGACTGTGCCAATCACACCCCTGTGACGCAAAAAAAACGCACGTTGCCTCCTTCAACGCGAAGAAAGTGAAACGGTACCCGAATCCATCGCGTTGGCGAAGAAATCGACTCGTCTTTTCTCCTCAGTGGCCTCGGTCTCTTCCACTGCCTGCACTCGTACGTGATCACAAGGACGGGAACATTTGCCGGCATGTTTTTCCTCATACAGCGTCCCGAACAGCAGTTTTGATATCCATTTTACACCCAACAACTGCTAACTAATTTTGCGGGCAGAATCTAGCTGCAAGCACAGGGAGAAGCTCTTCAAGTATACGACCCTGCAATGGCCACGTTGCCACCTTGAGATCGAAAACTCGTGCTGTGCTAGGGTCATTTGGGTATAATCATCATGGTAACCCAATCAATAGCAAAGGGCCTTTTACCGTGGAGTGTCTACCGGGACGTTGCAAACGACTTGAGAGAAGTCACACGAAGAACGAATCCACCCTACTAGTAAGAATCATTGGACCCTCCAAACTGGAGGGTCCAATGACCCTGCAGGTTCCGCACGGGGGCGACCCGAACCAAACCTTCACCGAACGGGTCGGGTCCATTGGGCAAAAAGCCTGGGACCTACCCCGCAAGTGTGGTCGCTGCACCAAGCATCGCTCATCTGACCGTCCAAAAAACGGATCTGTCATCTGATCTGCAACGCAACGCGCCGTGAAACGGTACCCCGCCTTTCGCTTCTTGCAACGCACCTTCAGTTCCTGCTGTTTGGGGCTGACAGCTGAGGTGGATATTTTTTTTCTGGGCCTTAAAGGGCCACTGGGAACCTCAGAGGGCAAGCATCCGCAAACCGCAAACGGTGGTCCATTTCAGGCAGGTGTCCCATTCCTTCCGTAGAGCATCGAAGTGCTCTGAAACCGAATGACGGGTTCTTGAAGCAATTGAATGTCCATGGATGTTCATGATCGATATTCCTTGGCAGTAGGTTTTCCAGGCTCCGAGAGGGTCTATGCAGGATGATTATGGCTATATACTATATGAAGGCCTGTCTAAACTCAAATGATATTTTAATTCAAGCAAATTATATGTATACAGATTATATACATCATTATTGACAGACTGTTGCAGTGAATGGAGGTAGACCCAACTCGTAGTTCACTCAACTTCAGCAAAGGAACGTTGCAAGACTCAAGACCACGTTTCTGTGAAAACCAGCTGTCCTATCCAAATTTCAATAAGATATAATAAGATCAATAAGAGTCTATATAATTAACTAATTGTTATCAGAGGTCCTGCCGAAACAGGCCAGGGCCACATTAAACGCAGGAGCATTCAGAAGTTCCTTGCAAGGAGCCGTTCCTTTTACGCCCCGGCGAAGGATAAGCACCAGCAGAATACCTCTCGAAGCAGCAACCCTCCGAGCCCGTGCATCGCCCCTTTCGGTGACGGAAGATTGAGGGACCTCCCAGGTGTCCCGATCCCTGAAAGTTTGGCACATCCAGTCTACCCAGCCAGGGCCACAAAGTCTCCCTATTCAAAATATCCAATCCACCCATCCATACGATCCGCGTCTCAGGTCGTATACCTTTTTCCACCAGAAATCCATGCAGCGATGCAGCACAGGGTCCCCCTGTGCCCTCCTGAAAGGTCGCCAAACTTCCATCCACAAAGGCTTGCAGCTCGGCCTGGGACGGAACATTTGCGGGTAGGTCGCCGGCCGTCGGGATGTCAGACAGTCCAAAGATGCATGACCTGAAGACGCATTGAATTCCAAGACCTCCTCATGAAATGGGACCCAAGACGAAGTCCATCCATCTTCCAAAAGGCAAAGATTTACAGATTTACAGTATCTTGGGCTCAGACTCTGGCGGAAAATCCGAGTGGCATATTGGATCTTTAACCTCCTAGGCCCCCCCGAAGAACCTTTGCGTCGGCCATCAGTAATTAGAAGGGCGGGGCGCGGCTCGCGCCCCAGCTCCCACATAGCACACACCAACAGGCCAACTTATCGTGTAGCCTTTAGACTGAAAGTGACTGAAATCCAGCTGGCCTCCTAACCCGCCAGCTCAGGGAAGTCATCTGCAGCATCAGATGCATCAGGAAGTCCAAAACACCCAGAGACCATCTCCAAACCATTTGGAGGAGGACAAACCGGTTTCAATTGGACAGCCCCAGTCGACCGGAGCAGTCATCTCCCAACCGACCCACTGACTCGGGCCGCCCACCATGGGCGGCCCACCCGCCATGGTCAACCCGCCACAACCACCTGGGCCGACCTGTTTTTCGTCCCGGGTCTTCGTGGCGGACTTGTATTCCGTCTTGTAGGCCTCGTTTTGGGCGAAACGTCCCCGCGCGGACGTCGGGGGCCGGTCGGCCTGAGTGGCCCCGTTCGATGCATGCGCAATCATGTGGGCGAAACGGGCGAAACCATGGCGAAGGACCAACATGTTGGACGGAGTTTGGACGGTCAAAATCCAGGTCTGAAGTCTGACGTCAGCTCAGACTTCAGATGGTCTTCGGAGTCTTCAAGTTGCGAGCCTTCTGCAAAAGAAAGAGGTCCAACATACGTAGACACGCAGATTGAATCCTCTTGAATTGTATGCTTCTGGCGCCTACCTTGAAGTGGTGGGGCAACCTTAAAGCCTCAGGATGGCCACGGCAGAATCAGCGGCAAAGTGTTCTAGTTCTAGAAGCTTCATATACCTCTCCGAGGCCTTACCAGCAGCCCAACCAGGAACCCAAAAAACAAAAGCTCCCCTGAGGTGACTTGCACTAAGAGCGCCCTGCAACCCAATGGATCACAGGATGTCACAGGCGGAGCCAGGTATCACCAGTTCCGCAGAATAAACACAGCCATTACCTCGCTCCAAAGACGAAGTAAAACCTACCCAAGGCCGATCGCTTCCAGACCCACTCTGCACTCCGCACCGCACTTCGCACCGCGTTCGGTGCGAACGCGCCCTTCCCCGGTCCGGTCCGGGGCACTGCCACCGCTTCCTTCGCCTGGCTCACACCCTGCGTCGCCTCCTTTTGGGCCTTGGACCGAGGGAGAGCGTCGAATCGAGGTCGGCGGGATGTGGTCCGACTAGGCTCGATGGCATGGGGGCACCCCAATCGATGTCCTAGATGGGGGTCCATATGTTCACCACCGACATTGGGGTCTGTGCCATCGAGCCTCTGAAACCACTATAGATCAGTCCACGTGTTCAATTCTTTGGAGCCCTTCCAACTTCAAGTTCGCTCACCTGAAAAACGTGGAACAGTCTGACCCTGAGAGAACACTCCCCACCAACTGGAGAGGAGGGGTTCACTTCTGAAGAATGGGTCAAGACCAAGATTCGTCATTCATCTGATGGTTTTTTTGGGGATCAAACCTCAGCTCAGCTAACCGGTCACCAAGCTCCAGCCTCCTTGGCGGCGCACATGTCTTTCGTGGCCTGGGTCCGGAGGCGTCCAATTGTGGCGGGTGGCTGATGCCCGTGGCTCAGCAAAAAAACAAAAAACTCAAATCAAACAACCGTTTCAATTGGGTGAGGAGTGAGGGTAATCCACAAGAGATTCATCCAACCTCCGGACAACCAGTGCCTTGAATTTAGAAAAATTTTTCGGGTGTCGCCCCTCGCCCCTTAGAGGTTAGGGGATGTCCATTGACCACCCCTTGTGGACCCTGCGGAGGTGTATCTTCAAATTTCTTTGGGCGGAGGTGATTGGACTGAGCTCTGTGTGACGCGCCTGTGCTTGAGCCTCATCCGCTTGGGAGAGGTCCTGGCGATTTTGGATCCACGCCAAGAGCTGTCGATCCGCCTTCCGTCACCAATGGGCTACGACCCAGTGCCCCTTCCAAACTCCACCCACATACAGAGCGAGTCCGGTTGGGGGGTGGTGTGGGGGGGAAGATTCGGCTGTTCCAAGTGCGAAAAACATCCCTTCGGCCCAAAAACACAGGGGAGTTCCCCTGGAGCAACTAACATGGAACTGGACACGCCCCTGTTTGGTGTTCGGAACATGGTCCACTTGCATGTGAGTTCCAGGGTGTGTAAAGGTTATATATCCATTCTAAAATAGATATACATGCACACACACGCACAGATATATGTATATATATATATACATATTATTTCATTAATATTAATATGTATATCATGGTCATCCACTCTTCCTTGTGTCTCCACCAGGTCCGGTGCTCTGCCATCGTCCTGCTGGGCTCCGTCCACCACCTCCTGCCGCTGCGCGGCACCGGGTTGTGCCGCCTGGATGGCGGTGCTCAGCCTCAGACTCCGAGGCCAGGGGAGGCACGGAGGGACGTGCCGCCCTTCCCAAGCACCATTCCCTACAAATCCAGTCGTACCTTCTCAGAAGGTATGATTGGATAAGAGTGCCGAACACATCACCTCCTGAGAAGGTACAAGGGATTGAGGTTGGCAAAGATTAGGATGGTTTCAGGATTTCAGGGTCAATGTTGGCCTATGGCTGCCAGGGCCAAAATCCGGACCCCTAATCGCTGGTCTCGTTCGCTGCGTTTTGTTATTTCTTCTGTTTATGGTGTGATGTGGATCCAGGAAAAGCTGCACGCCTTCAGGAGTCTCGTTGATCCTACAAACACCCTGGTACCCCTCCTCGAGTGGTGCCGAAAAAAAGAACAAATCTCGATCGGTGGTCCAGCAGGGTCCCCAGTTTTCCTATTGGAGTGCTTGGGTGGGAAGGCTCCTTTTTCAATCAGGACATGGGCCCACCCTCAACTGATGGAGATGGGCCCAGTCTGGAGGAAGAGATGGGCCAAATCTGTGCCTTTAGCCATTCCCCACCCTGAGTGGGTAGAGCCCACACCGTGCTCAGCCCACACCGTGCATGACATGTGGCCACCCAAGTATATCAGCATCTCAGCGCTTCTTTTCATGGGGCCCTCTGGCAGGAAAATGCTCGAATCAGCTGATTGCCAAAGCCAAGAGCTGGCAGGATTCACAGGATTCCGGTTCTTCCAAAGAACCAAAATGATCCAAAATCCCACATTCCTGGATTAAACAATTTCAACAAAACCCCTAACCAGTCCGTTGATCCTATTTGAGGGCAAAGTTTTCTCGGAGCAAACCCAACCCCCAAAGATTGGAGATTTGGGTTGCAAAAGCACATGTTTTTGGCCCCAACCTTTCAGGTGAATCATCTGGTCTTCTCCTATCGGGACGAGCCAGGGAGCTCCGAGATCTTTTTGCTGCCCAAGAGCTCCGAGATCTTCGGCTCAAAGTTCTTTTCCAATTCATCCAGAACCTAGCCCAACTCGGTAAGGCCGTGCTCGCACACCGAGTCGCACGTGACGGTGGTGTCATGGTGTCGGCGGTGAAGAAGCTGGTCCGTTGTGTTGAAACTCCCCCCCCCAGAAAAAAAAGAAACTGTATCAACAATATGTCACAACAAGAAGACATATCGAAGCGGCCTTCGCAATACAAACCACCTCAGAGATTCCTAGTGATTTCCTTTCGTTCCCTTTTGGGGGGATGGGTAGGGTGTTCCAAATCCACTTCCAGTTCCGATGCCCGTGCGATGCAATACATCAGTCACATTTGCACAGTTGTGTGTTTTGTATGTTTTTCTCTATACCAGGGGGGGAGTTCCAGTTCCAGTGGGGAACACTGTGTCTTTATCAAAGCTCGTATCAAAGTTCTTGATGAAAACTGCACTCAAGACCCTCCATAGCAGGCATCTAGCCTTCCATAGCAGTGGTCTGCACCTTCAACTCAAAAACATTAGGCTCTAGGTCGGTGTTTGAGGGTACAGATCCTTGGGGTACACTGACACAGCTCAACTTTGCGGATTTCTGGCGCAACGCGATCTATTGGGCAGCCAGTGTGCTTGCATGTACCGTACGCTTCCTTGCTTGCTTGCTTTTGGGCTGCCTTGAAAGCTCAAACATCATCAACAAAATCCCTCGAAAAACAACAGTTTGAGCAACACGTCTCAATCCCCCTTTGTTCTCAGCTCAGCCCTCCATCTCCCACAGCTGACCGCTGCTCCCGGCGCACCGTGCCATCAAACACCCCGCGCTCGCTGGGCGGGCGGGTGAGCACACCGGGGATGGCATTGCGTAGGCTTTGGTCCATCACTAGGAGCTTCAGCGAAGGCCTTGGCAATCCATAACTGGGGGACAGGAGGAGCGCGCAGAGCGAACAGAACGACCAGAAGGCGAAGAGCTAGGAACTTTGATGTTGGAACATTCGGTATTTCAATGTATTTCAGGTGGTGCAGGAATGTGCAGGATAGGATGTTGACTGTCTTAAACACGTTATATAATTGAAGTTCAATATGTTCTGGGAGTCCAGGACCATTGTTACCATGGTCTTGCTCTGGACCATTTTTGGTAACCAAGTGGCACCATGTGGCTCAGTTGTTTTGATTAAAACTGCAGAATTGTGCGAAATCTATCAACATTGCTGCCCCGAATCTCCAATCCAGGAATTCGGAAATCACGGGCGTGGTTCCAGCACATCAGCTCAAGTGGTGCCAGTAGCTGCAAGAACTAATGGTGCAATGCTAAAATTGAAAAGAAAACACTTGCATGATGTTCCAATGTTTCTGTAAAATCCAGCTGGGGAATGACCCTAGTTGCTTTGAGGAAGCAAGCGAATCAAAAACGGGAGCGCAAGACTTATATACAGTAGTTGGCATTTGCTGTTAGGCGTGCAAGGATCTTATGCATCCCGATATGTCACATCCCAATGTTTACGCCTGTTTTTTTGCATGAACGATTGAGGATTGGCGATTGATGAACATATTTGGGAACCATAGTCACCAAAGCCAATCATCCAGCCAGGTGACAACCACGTTTGTTTCCAGTTGGAGTCATGAATACTGTGTGCAGGTGGGTGTGCATCTGATTGGGTGGCACTTTTGAGGGCCAACCTCCCTCCTGCCACCATCTCTCCGCCTGCCACCACCAGGACGTTCGCCGGCCACGGGCCCCCAGGCTCCAGCTTCTTGAAAGCTGCCTTCACCTCTTTGTCTCCACTCAAGCTCCCCAGCTTCAAGGCCTCCAGCGGTGGGAGACCCGCTGTGACGGGAAGAGGGGACGATGGCGTGGGAGGTTCTTCGCACCTCTGGTTTCGGAACGTGTAGCACGGATGGAATCCTTCCGCACGCTGTGTTCGGAGTGCCAAGTGATGCATAGTTGGGTTTCAAGGCAGGGCGGCTGAGCCCTCACAGGCAACAGGAACACTTTCGTTCCACACCTTGAAGGGTCACCGTCTGCAACATCCGGGGCAAGCGGTTGCGGTGGGTGCGATGGGGTGCGGGTACTTCCCCTGGACGTCAACCCCGCAAAACGATGCAAAACTGCGATTGCGGCGGGAGGGGGTCGCTTCAGCACGCGATGTCATAGGACGCTTTAGACACGCGAAAAAAGGGGAGGCGGAGCAGGAGGATGAGGATGATGAGAATCAAACGAGCACATGAACGTTGGACAATTCTTCGATGTCACCCTCAGGGTGGCGGCACCCAACAGGGGGGCCGCTGTACCAGGTTCTTCATCTCCATTCACGAAGAATCAGTCAGACTGTAATGGCTCTTCAGGTGACCCGAGTTCTTCAGGTGACCCCAGTTCGTTCCGTTCCAACTTCAGTCGGTCCAAGGACCAAAATCGAGCTGGAATGACGGGATGGGCGGTGGCAGCCGGGATGATCGAACTGACCGTCAGGTGGCTAACCGTGCGAAGCCTCAAAGCTCTCTTTCTTGGAGACTTCCAACAGATCCTCGCGGAGTGGATCGGCATCGAAGCCAATGAAAAAGGGGTGTCTAACGGGGCATCTACAAGATCACCTACTTCACCATGCTGCATGGTCAACTGGCTGCGCCCCAGTAGGAATAGGAGGGTGGCGATGTCATGTTGAAAGTACAGATGATTCGTGGTCGTCTTTTGCTTTTTATATCCTTGGTTGCCCTGGAAGGAGCCCGTGACTTCACAAACACCGTTTCGCACACTGCGGCTCTCTCCCAAAATGAGCTCTATAACCTTGCCTGAGCTGCCATGGAGCTGTTCTGACTTTTTGTCTGGGATGAGTATGAAAATTGGATCATTCCAAAATATTCCAAACACTCAGCACCATCTCCCAAATGTAAATGTGGGATACCACGGCGACAAGGCACCTGCTGGTTCCCTGCATTCCCTGCTGGTTCCCGGACAAACTTATATAGCGTTTTTTGATTAGCTGCATAGCTGACCGCCTAACACACGTCTTTTCCCCAAAGGGCGTGTCCCACCAGGCAACCAAACTTCCGAAAAGCAATTCGCGGAATCAAACGAATGTCCAACAACAAGTGCAACAAAAATAAACATCCCACCTCAGCTGCAAAGGCGCCTTAGTCTCTTTCTTTTCATCCATTCTCCCACAATGCACTCTCCCATGTCTCCTTCTCAGCCACCACTTTCCCCAGCTCAGTCTCTCCTGTCCACCCAACCGTCTGTCGAGCCGAGTCGGCGATGACCCATCGCCCATGTGGAAAGAATGGGGTTTGGAGCGGATCGAGGTGATCGCCGAAGTCCCCCGGAACGGGTGAAAAACACCGGTTCCGAAGCAGATCCAAGTCTCGTCCATGGTCCATGGTTGGGACCAAAGATCATCCCAGGTTTGGGACCAAAAACGCGAAAAGCCCCCCTCAATCGGCTGGGTGGAATCCACATGTAGGGCATGGCATCTGAGTGCCTTGGAGTTGTCCAAGTTCGGTTACACACGCAGGCACTAGACTCCTGGTGCTTGGAAAAATCCCAGTCAAACCAACAACCGCGACTGGGAAGACTGTGCGGATTGAGATCTAGCAGTGGTACAAGCAAAGTCCAGGAACCCTGTTGTTCATCCTGTCCTTGCTGCTGCTCCTTCGTCCTTTGTGTTAAGGCAGCCTTTGCTTTCACCACGGCCTCCGGAGAAAGAAGCTTCTGACAAGCACGGACGCACGGCTCAGCTGTGCTTTAGCGTTGTTGCCAGCAAGGACAAACATATTCACGCGAAAATGAGGTCAGCTCCCTGAGCTCCCCCCTTGTTGAGAGCCAATTGTAGCGCGTCAAAGAAATCCAAGGCCATCAGTCTTTATCAGTGTGGGGAGTCTCAGAGCCCGTCTTGCACCTACTCTCTAACCGGCTCAGCACCCTCACCGCGCTTGCCCCCCCTTCAACCACCTCAGCACTGTCGCCCACCAGGTCACGCTCGGTGCCTGTGTAGCCTGTTCCAAGGCCTCGCTCTTCTCCGCGGTGAAGCTCTTGGCACCTTTCAAGGCCTCCTCGGCCGCCTGGTCGACTGAGACGCATGTCTGGTGGCTCCGGTCGGTCCGGTGGTCGGGTGCTGCGCAGTCCAGGCAGCTTTCTCTCAGTTGGAAGAAGTGGGTGGGCCCAAGCGTTCAAAACATGAGCACTTGGATTCCAATAGCACGTTTTCGAGCAGCTTTGGGGCATGGCATCCTGTCGCAAAGGGAAACCGGCAAAATCCTTAAGTGGATCCATTGGATTGAACAAAGCCGTCTCAAAGCAAGCCGGTTCGATCTGCAAAGCCTCCCAGCACACCATCCATCCGTTCCACCGAGAAAAAAGGAAGTTTGTGAACCTATACGCGCTTCGCTTGGGTATTGACCAAGTCCTTGGCCTTGGGGGCGACCAACTCTACTCAACCAGCGCTTGTTGGCACACAACGGAAGCCGCGATGTTGTGCTGATGGCTTGCCACGTCGAGTGCTCAATTTCCGGGCAACTTTGGGGAATAATTACCCCACTACGATAGTGAGACAATTCTATCAAGAAGGGCCTGTCACAACACAGACCATCAAGTAGGATGATTTATGTCCAAATTACATGGCATGGACGGTACATATCATCAAAACACCACAGAACAGGGGGAAGAACCCGCTCCTCAAGTCACCGCATGTCGTTCCCAGCCCCACCGAGCCAGGTACTTGGGAGTTCAGGGCTTTGGGCAAACACCAAAGCTCAATAAAGCGCCATGCGCGCAACAATAAACACACAAGATATGTGTTTACTGTGGATGTTTTGTGTTTTTCCAATTTTTCCATGTCTTTCCAGTGTGTCTGGCTTTAGTTGGCTCGGCTCAAGTTTTCAACAACAACACAAGATTGAGTTTTGATCCGGTCACCTATTGCCATGAGCGCCCCAATGAGTGTTGGGCAAATTAAAGAACTGATGACTACTGATGATCTATGATGATATACTCCATCCTACGACACTCACTGCACCTGGCACCCGTTCATCCCCAGTTAGGTCCAGGCCGTCCTGAAGCTTGCGTTCCAAGTCCTCCTTGGTCGCTTCTGCACCTCCACGGCTCCGTGCCGAAAAGGCGGCGGCGTCCGCCGTCCGCGAGATCCGAGGAACGGCTGGGCGCCCAGTATGTCAGACAGGGGTGGCCCAGTCCTTTTCTGTCTGCCTAAAACAATGTCCGCGTCGCAGTCAGGAGCATGATGTATAATGGAAACATATTAAAGCCTGGAGGTGCAAAAATCTTAGAAGCCGTAGAGGCCAACATCCATAAAACAAACACCTCTTGAGGCAAGAGGAGAGAATCGGGCACCTCAGAAAAGAAACAGTCACGACCTGGAAAAAGCGCTTCCACGACGATCGAATGGAACACGATCGTTGGGGGACAACAACCTCAACATGGCATCTCCAGAAACAGCAGCCTTACAACACCAGCTGGGAGATCGGAACACCCATTCTGATCGCCCCAGCGCAATCAGAAACGACACCATTTTGGGATACCACCACCTTGAGGGGATAACCCTTTTGGCCATGCACTAATAAACGTACCACGAGCGGCGCCAACAAAGAACTGCTGCAATCGCCCCAAACATGAGACAAATGATCCACTACCTGATATGGTGGGGCTGTTTAAGTTTTGAATCAGTCTCTCATGGGAGGCGCCAACGGAAACCCTGCACTGGGAAACCAAACGTTGGCTAGAAAAACTAGAAAACCACATGCTGGAAACACGCTGTGACGCTGCATTAACCACAGCCCAAACACCATGAGCAGCGCATCTTCCCCTGTCACGCGTTCCGATGCTCATCTCAAAAAAGACATGGATTCATGGATCCTCTCAACGCCCAAAACGTGACTATAGAACTTCAAGAAACCTCCGCTCTTCTGACGCCGCTGAGAGGCTCGGGTTCTTCTGTGATTGGTCGCGAGCGAATGGGGACTCCGTCCAGTCTGATGTTGGTGTGGCATCACTCAGGTACCTCGGTGACCACAACCAAACCAGCTTCCTCACAACAGAAAATCCTAAGTGACCCAGAATAGACCAGCTTCCTCGTGCCGAGTCGGATCGGTCCAGCCCCAGGTATCTCTGTGGTGAGCATTTTTTTCTGCCTCTGAAAACACGGAAAGCTCCTTGCGTCGACACCTGTGAAGCGCGGCACCTGCCACCTTCTCGTTCTCTTGGTCCAAGGCCACTTGAAGCCCTCCCAGAATCCTTAGGGGGTCGTTGCTGCGAAAGCCGAACGCAGCGAGTGAAGCAGAACCGTCGGTCCACGGTCGGTCCACCCCGCATGGAGTGTTCAAATCTGCTACTCTTGAAGCATGTTCACTGTTCATCCACGGAATTGATCCAAATACAAGATCTACTGGACCGTCCGGAGTACAACAGAAGTCCGTACTGGGTGAGAGACCGTACTGGGGCAGCTGAAGCTGTTCTCTACTTGTTCCAGTCCCGCCGCGTCCTGGCTTGTGCCAGCAAACCTGCTGAGTGGAAGGCATGCGGATTGGCGAAAATCTTGGATTGGCGGAGTTGAGTCAGTGGAGGAGCACCCCCATTCGAGCAACTGAGCCACTAACTGAGCCATTCACTAGGATCAAATAGGATCAAACCCTCTGGGCTAGGGAGGGCCAGGGTTTTACGCCCTCCTTTCAAGAGTAGCGACAGCTCCGGGATAAAACACAAATTGGGACCCTTGGAGTCGCTTGGAGCGGTGACTTGGAGTCGCTTGAAAACAGTTCAAGCGACTCCAAGGATCAAAAGGCTACAGCATCGCCTCTAGCGTCTGCCTCGAGGTGGTCACCCTGAGAAAGTTGGACCGTTGGACCTCGTGGTGGGTTTCACCCATTTCACACCCGACCCCATGTGTTTCGTAACCGTGGAAGGCCTTCGTCACACCTTCGGAAGACACCGGCCAGGAGTGTTCGAAATCGGCCAGGCTCCGCAACATCCCCGTGGAACTAGGTACAGGTAACTAGGCGTATACAATGCCCAGTGGAACTGGGTTGGCCAGTGGTGCTCAAAACATACCCCCATTACGGCCACAAGACTGCATGTGTTTGCTTTGCGTGCAGCAACGCGACTGGGAGGCCAAGGGGCTTCGACATGGCCTGGCAAGTCTCTGACATCAGTGAGTGAAGTTTCAAGAAAAACAATCCGTGAGTGGAGTTTCTGGTGCAATGAGTGAAGCTTCACAGCCACCCCGCGCATTATGTTTCTGCTGCAGGCACTCCTTTTTCCTGCCCTGGGCAACTTGATGCAGCCCTGGGCGGTTTGAGAAACCTTGAAAGAGTTTGATGACCGGCCAAGCGATGCCAAAAGGACCGGGCGCCGATACACAGTTAGTGGTGAAACAGTGCAGCTGGGCAAAGTATCAAAGTCTCTTGGCTTCGGCGGTCTGAGAGCAACTGCTAATTAACAACTATGGTGTCTTTAATGCAGCGGTCTGAGCGCTAATTAGTTCCTCCTCGTGGCCAAGTCCACAGTGACAGGCACTAGGCTGGTGTTGCTATTCTTGAACATGCAATCCTCTGCATACATGGCTTACAAATACTTACAATGCCTTCATTTCGGCAACCCTGACCAGAAGCTCATTCCTCATCAGCATGTCTGTGATCTTGCATGATCGAACTACTGCCACCACAGGAGGCCGGGCCCGCCAGGCAGGGCCCGTCCCGCGAACGCGCCGAGGCATACGGCGCCACAATCACAACCCCAGCGATTGTGACCAGTTAGAACTGACCTCAGTCCTACCAGCCGAACTGATTGGTGCGACTCGGCAGGAATGAGGGTGGATCCAAAGGAGTTTTCGGTGGTGAGTTTCTTCCCTCCATACCCCTACTTTCGTCGCACCAGTCAGCCGCAGTCCGCCAAGCTCGCGCCGGAGAAAAATCCCCAAGTCGCGTCGGCCCGAAGACACGGCATGGCTTCGGCATGGCTGGTGGAACCGGAAGATCGAGTGCGTACAGCAGCATACCGGACCGAGCAAACTGTGTGCGAGCTCAAGCTGATCTGAAGCATGTGAGCTGACAGCCAATTGGGCTGGGCAGGAGTGGAAGACTGTTGGCAGGGATATGTAAGGCATTGGGAGTGTACAACCTCTTCATGTCAATCAAGGTTCAAATACATCATCACATATACGATCATATACACAGGAGAAGCCAGCTACTTGCGCCAGGTAACAGCTTTGAAACAATGCATCGGGGGGGACGGCGGATACATGCACATACTTGCACAATGTACCTGATACTCTGCACTACCCTACAACATCCCTCTAGGCAAGCCCAACATCCAGGTTCTGGGAAAAAACACTTCGTCTCACAGGCGTCTCTTTGACGGTGTCTCGCTGCCGCTGCTCCAAGTGAGCGAAGCCCGATGCGCCCGAAACGCGGGGGGCGTTTGAGGGTCCAAACCTACACGAATGCTCGCAAGCAGCTTGAATCCGTCGATGAAGAGTCTATCTTCATGGGCTCGAACCACACCAACATCCGGAGATTGCCTTCTTGGACAGTGAATGAAAAGAAAACTCCATGAAAACTCGACCCACAGAATGTACTGGACATGGTTGGTATGTCATGGTTGATCATTCTTTCGGTGGTCTGCTTTCGGGTTCAGTCCCAAGAGGCGCCACAGGCCCAGGCCGAACTCCAAATCATCTGACAGACGTCCAAGAGGAAAGAAGAGGAAGCCCAAGGCTGCACACAACAACTCTGCCCCGGCCCGATGGTTCGCTCCCCGGGTCACTTCGGCCGAACTCAACAGCCGGCGCCCGCCAAGGACAATGCCTGGCACCGGCGACACACGGTGGCACCGGTGATGACGACGGTCCACTTCGGAAGGTGAGTCCAACATGGTCAAAACCAAGCCAACTGATAACATATGCTTTAAAACATGTCCAGTCATGCAAATTATCTTATAAAACAAGCACCCAGCAAAACATTAATAATACTATATCATCTGCTAGTCTGCTACCTTGATTCGTCCTCTGTCCGTATCTGCTTAGGGAATTCTCCAGTGGCATTCAGTGGGTGGGAAGTAGGTCAGCGCAGGCATCACCTTCGGTCAGGCGTGCCAAGTGCCAAATCGAGTCTAATCCGTTGGCTTCGAACGACGGATGCGGCTGAACCCTCCGCCGCATCCAATCACCTGATCCATCCGCCCTGCAAGGACCTCCCCGACCGGTGGACCAAGAGCGTCAGACTCCGTCGCGGCGAATCGGATGGCATTGGGTGCAAACCAAAGGGCTTGGGTGCAAGAAAACCATGAACCTAGCACTAAGGGTGGGGACCAGGCTTTCTGAATTAAGGTCCACGAACAACTGGACGAACTCCACGGCCGTGCCGTGACCCGTGGTGGGCGCTTGCCACGCGCCCACGGCGGCGCCCGGTGCGGCACGGGCGGTTACGCCGTGCGGTTCACCGACTGGCGGGCTTCGGTCGTCCGGATCGGACCTTCAACGGTGGCCGAAGAAAAGAAGGTGTCAAAAGGGGAAAAAAACAAACAATCAAAAACCGGAACCAAGAATGAGATACAAAGATCACACTCCTGCTTACAGGGAACAAAGGGGGCCCCCACCTCACCACAATTGATATAAATTTATGATCATTTACACTCCCGAAAACTCACAGTCACATGGACATATGGACCCTGAGAATGGCCCCCTGGAGACCCTGGAAGATTGTTTTCCTCTACCAACCATTGTAACCATTGTCCAGGTGTGCGGCGGCATTTATTTGGTACTAAACTCAAATACACTATCTATTATGTGGGGGCCCTATCTCGTTTAGACTACTTAAGTAGGAGGTCATGTCACAGTAATTATCTCGTTCAGACTACTTTAGTAGCAAATCACACTGTCTCGTTTGGACTACTTTAGTGATCTTTAGTGTCATCAAACAAAAGTATCTCGTTTTTGTGGGGGGCCCTATCTCGTTCACAAGCAAATACTGATGATAGACAAGCAAATAGAGCATGCCGTAGACTACAGTACAGTACTCTAGTAAAGCTTAAATAAAAGCGGTTGCTCAGGTGCTTGGTGCCCGGTGATTTTCTCAACGTCGCAGTGGCTCGGCGCCTCGGCCACCTTCATGTGCATGGCCTCAGCGGCGAACGGGAACCGATCTCGGCCCCTGCAGGAAATTTCCAAGCTGGATGAAACGTCCATGTCTTTTTTGATAGATCCGTTCAAAGACCCCAAAAAAAAGATACTGGGAAGCATTGGGAAGCTGGATGAAGCTGGTCTGTTTTCAGCATCACACACATACCATACCACCTCCCCGGCCCGTCACGCCCGTCCGTGCCGGGCGACGAAGCGGATCCTGCCTTTCAGATCAACCCAACTCGAAGCACGAGTAGGGCTGAGTGATCTGAGTGAGTTGGTTAAGGGTCTTAGTTGATCTGATTGAGGATCCCAGAAGTAGCAGGGGCTTGTGGCAGCAGTGATGCATACAGCACCACCACTGCAATCCATGAGTATCCCAGAAAATCCAACATAAACCATGCTGATCTTGCTGATCTTGAATCTGCCAAGGGGGCCACCCTGGGAGACGGAAGACGTGGTCAAAAAGCTGGGATGGAAGGTCTTTCACTGATTCTATTCTATTGGAATGCGCCAAAGAATTAAACACTCACTTCAAGACTTACAGTATCCAGAATACCTGCCAAATGAACTCCGAAAACCAGAACTTCCACGTCGACCACCGTCCCTCATCTGCCGTGGACACGTCGCTCGTAGCTTGCCAAGCCACGTCCGAGAGCTTGCTGAGATAAGCCTGCTTCTTCCTTGGATGGTAACGTCCAATGGCGGGGTTCCCCCGACGTTGATCTCCGGGCAGAAAAAATCAACAGACGGGCTGCCGATCAGTTGGGGTGGTGCCAGAGGGGTCAATGTAGGCATATATGGCAGTCCCATGGAGTGTCTGGGATAAATACTTCCCAGGTCACAAGATTGCATGATGACGATTACAATATGTGATTGCTCAAGTTGCTAAAGGATCTTGGCCAAAAGCAGTGATGAGCTTAACCAACTGTTCATAGACAGGTCCAACCAAGTACTTCACACGCAACACACTGCAGTTTCTGAGCAACGCCTATAAACCAAATGCAAGTCCTCGTTATACTAAATATTGCTAAATATCTAAATACCTCACATGCGATGCATGCAATTAATTTTACCTTCAACATCGACGCTATTGAATGGGCACCCACTTCCTGAAACCCAACATCCAACGGAGCTCCTATGCCCAACCATCGATGAGTTGACAAGGGTTTTTTTTCAACGTTTCTGGCAGCATTTCCAGGGGATACCCAGCTGTGAACACCTGAAGGGTTGCCAAAAGTAGACCGGGATTGAGCCTGGAGTCGTGATGGGGGCAAATATTGTCGCCCAAATTCCCAAGAGTGGGTATTTCGGGCATCCTGTATTGCAAATCATCATCTACTTGGGCCACCTACCACCGATGAGCAAAAACAGCAAAACTTGCTGGTCAGCTGGTCCCAGGTGCTTGCTCGACTTCAACTTGTTCAACTCTTCCACGTGCTTCATGACTGCCGTCGGCTTCCTTGGGGTGATACACCAAGAGGCAGCCAACCCGACCAGCTTCCCATGGACGACCAAACTCACATTCCCCAGACCATCTATGCATGGAATAGTTACATAACATACATTGTCCCTAGGGCTCCAGTCGTACCTTCGTTTCGAAGGTGGGACATTTCATTTACTGGGGTGGGTGCCAGGAGGGTCCAAAAACCTTCTGAGGAGGTACGACTGGAGCGCTACTGTAGGGTATCATATCTTATCATACATGTTACCCCATGTGAGACCCCGCTGAGGCCGCAGGTCACTCTTCCATGACATCTCGATGCACGGACACACACATACTTTGGGGCTCCGGGTGGGAACTCGAAACGAAGCGTCGAAGAAGGACATGATCTCCGGTGGGGACTCGAAACTCTAGGTACCCTCCCTCCAGCTGCCCATGTTCCAGAGGATATGTCCCATGTGAATAGAGGACCATGCCCCCCCCCAGTGCAATCGAGCATTCCCATTGCTCGATCCTCGAAACATCGGGGTTTCCCTCCACGACGGCACTGGGCCGCAGAGCATCCCCTTGGACTCTCTTGCGAGGGCACTGGACTCAGTCACTGGAGCGCTGGAGGGGATCCCTTGTTCTCACAGCCCCCCCGGGGCTTCGTCCGAATTCAACTCCACCAGGTCTCTTTTTGGGCGACGTCTTTGCCACCTTCTTTGGGGATGCCTTGCCCGAAATCAGGTGCGGAGTGGTGCATGCAGGGGGGTGGTTGTTCTGTTTCCTGCTTGCTGTAAAGCACACAAGTCTGGTGCATCTTGGCATGTTACTCCATTTATCCAAGGAATTGGGGCCATGCAACACCGTTTAGCCTGCACTCTTGCGGACTGGAGTATCTGGAGTCTGGGCCAAAGCGGTCTTGTGTAAAAAATTAAGTCCTCTCCGCACCTTCTTGGGCGATGCTGCCTTCTTAGGCGATGCTGCCTTCTTAGGCGATGCCTTCTCTGCCTTCGCTTTGGGGTGCCCCCCTGCTGCATGGCCTGCAACAAAGCCAAAGCCATGATGAGCAGAACTCGTGGATGGGCCCCACCCAGGGCAGCTTTTACCCAACAATGCACCAGCTGGATGGAGGGTCAACCCCGAGAACACTGGAGGGTCGACTGAAGCTCTTTTTTTTGCGGGATGGGGGGTGATCCTAGATCCCACTCGAACGGATTTGGCCCAATCCCTATACTCTTCCAATTATATATGTAATTCAACAGCAGGTAGCTAGCCCCAAGAATATCTTGCATTGAATACCTACATGCGCAATCTGGCTGTCCATTGGAGAGTGAACTGACTGAGTACTACTCAAACACACTGGTTGCAGTACCCACTAGAGGGGGAACTGCACAAGTACTAAAACTCGCTAATCACATGCTGTGCAGCTCCCAACTCCCGCTGGACCTAGATCATTTTAGCAGGCATGAACCATGAGTGATCCCCAAATATATATATATATATACATATATACCTAGAACCTGATTGAATCCTGTTTTGGAGCCAAAACATGACAAAACAGAGGTCAAATGGGTTCTAGGTATATAATGGTATATCTACACAAATAGATATACAAAGTTTTTTTGGTGGGGATCTATATACGGTTCTAATCCTTTTGCTTGGCAGGTATCTTTTGGCGACCGACTTCCAGCACCAAAAGGACTTCACTGGGCAGCGCGCGTGCCTGCTTGCCCGCCTGCTTGCCGGCGGGCGGCACTGACCTGGCGGTGGGGCTGAGTCCACTCTCCCCAGCCAGTGCCTGCAAGTGACCTGCTGAAATCCGATATAAAAAGACCACCAAATATAGATAGAAAAGTAATGAAAAGTAGATCCTCACTAAAGAATCTACTAAAAACATCTGTAAAATTGCAAACAATAGTGTTTCTATGTATTTGGGGATCACTAGAGTCCCCGAAGGATGATTTAGGATCATTGATAGGTCCACGTGCCCGTGGTCCACCGGCTCCGACATGACCGTGCTTCTTCAGAGACTCTGTTGAGAGGATCGGCGACTTGATCAAATGGGCGGCACTGCTGGCACTGCTCAGCAGATCTCATCTCAGCTGATCCCTTCATATCTCACTGATGGTTACGTGGACGACATGGCCCCGGAAAGACCCTCAAGGGGATGGTCCACTTTCGTGGAGCAGTTCGAGGGAGGGTCCCTAAAACGTTCCCGACGGCATTTCAAACCCTTTGATACCAAGGCCGACCCACGGACGGCCGTTGGTTTGGGGTGACCTTGGACCTGAAATCATGTCCCTCAATACAGGCTCTTGATTAACAAACTCCCCATGTGAAGAGGTTTTTCAGTCCAAATGGATGGAGTATGAATAAATTAATCAAGATCCAAGTCTACATCACTTGATGTTGACCACTGGTCCATTTCCTGACGCTGTCGCGCTTTTGCCCACTTGGGCCCACCTGTTCGGCCACTTCAATCAAAGTCGCTGGGCCGAGCCTGCCGTCAGAAGTGTTGGAAAACCCATCTACCTCCTCCGAGGATGACCCACCAAACTCCTTCAAACTGTTCTTTTGGTGATGCATCAGCCAAACGATCTCAAACTCGGGCTCAGCCCCCTCCAATCAATTTTTCCTCTATTGTGCCGTATGTAGCTTTCGGAGGGTTCCCCAACAAGAATTCGGTACATTGTGGAGTCATATCCGATCATGCTCATAGACGCATAGACGCAAAGCTATCTCATGACTAGCTAGGGCTGGCTCAAGATTCAAAATTCATCCTGCCGTGAGCAATGGTCTATTTTTGTGTCGTTCTCCAATATAGATATGTGCAACGAACTTTGTGTGCGACCCATTGTGGGAGACCCACTGTCACGACTGACAGGAAGCCATTTTGAGTGGGTGTACTTTGGGGCTGCGACTAACCAAATGCAATTGCTGAAAAAGAGAGACAGCACCTAAAACTGATTTGGACTCTGACTCTTGATTATTGAACACCCTCATATGAAGAGGTGTTTCAATTCAAATTGGGGGAGGTTATTAATCGAGAGTCTACATTAATGCCAACTGCCAACAAGCTATTAAGACAAGGAAACAACATGAAACACAATCAAACACACCACACCCCAAACACGCCATGTACATATTTCCCTACATTGGAGCGGTTTCAAGTTTCCGGGGTCAAGGTACTGAAATATGCCGCATATGCCATACATTGCACATGGAGTGTCCCCCTGGCTGCTGGGTGATGTTCTTCGCCCTCCGCCTTGATGGGGACGAGGTCTGCGCATGTTCCACGCGCTGCCGGACCTCTTGGGACCTCGTGACCAAGACGGACGGACGAGACAGACGGACGGACGTTCGGATCACTGCCCCGGATGGGGTCCTTCCCCACCTGGATACAAGAGAGGACTAACTACAGTAGTCTTCCAAACTCCAAATCCTCTTCAGTGCTATCTTTCAAAACCAGAAACTTTCAACTGCCCGTTTGGGACACCGAATTCCGGAGCCTTGTCACAAGCCCCAAAGCCAAGAAAAAAACCTGTCCCTCAGCCCAAAAGTTGCAAATACGAATAGTCCCTGCGACGTTCTTGTGTCAAAAACGCCCCATCATGTACATGTTGGAGTTCGAATTTGTTCACCGCACACGTGAAAACTTCATCAGTGCGAGGTCTTGAAATTTCGCTGCGGCGGGTGTCTTTCGCCCAGCTCTGACAGTCTGAGCACCCCGGACAGCTTGCTGAGATACTTCTCCTTCCTGACCCAAAAAGGAAGAGTAATCCAATGCAGTGCCTTCCAGCCTAACATGGACCCCCCCAAAGCCACAGGGTCTAAGAAGCAAATTAGAATATATATATATATACATACATTATATATACAGTAATAATGTTCAACTTGAATGAATCTGTTTCCAGGAATTCTTTGGGACAAACATGAACAACCGCAGAACCTTGTCGATAAAGAATACAAAAGAAAACGGAGCTTCTTCAGCCGGCGCAAGCCTGCTTGCGTGCCTGGCAAACATGCAGTGGTATGGTGGATTAGAAGCACACATGAATCGAGTCGGAAGGACACTGGGTGGCCCCCCTTTAAGAACCTTTCAATGTGCCTGGGTGGCACCGGGGAAATCGTCGAACAACATGTCCCCTGAATTCGATTCACCGTGAAGAAACCCATGAATTCGATCATCAAAACGACCAAGGAGGGGAACTGAATGATGTTCATTTGCTGGGGCTCCAACTACCTCCTGAGAAGATGTTTTGGGGGGTCTAACCGTGTAACCACCTGAGGATCTGGGCCAGGAGCCTCAGGGATTCCTGCCGAGCCGCTCGGGCGGTCCCTTCCACGAGGGTCGTCCCCATGGTGAAGGGGGGCCAAACGTCGGTGGTTCACGATGCCAGGAGCGGTGGACACCCTTCCTCTATTCATGAAGCAAACTGAAAAGGGCCATCGATTTGGTGTTGATCTTCTTTGTTCTTAGCTAGCCAGCTTCAATCTGTGTAGTCCGGTAGGGTTCTAAAGGCAATGAAGACTTCTGCGACTCATGAGTCCTCTTTTTCATCTGGATGGTCTTTGCAGGGTTTGCAAACTCCACGAACTCCACGTGGCACTGTTTCAGCTCCCAAACTCGGCAGGTTCCCTGACGTCAGGGACGCGAAAAGAATCCACGGCTTGCTGCTGAGCGTCTGCTTCTCCGTCTTGAGTTTTCTCAGCTCCTGCGCGGATGGAAGGACCACCGATGGAAGCTACACGTCAGTGACTCTAAAGAGGAACCTCGCACAGTGATGGCACAGTGATGCTCGAAAATGAATATCGACTTAATGTAGACTCTTGATTAATACACCCCCCATATGAAGAGGATGTTCAATTCAAACGGGGGGGTTATATATTAATCAAGAGTCTACATTACATTGAAGGAATGTGAGTATGACTCCTGACCCGTGGCTGAACTCCTGACCTGTCGCTGCCATCCCATGGCACCTCCATTCAAAGACATGAGTCAAGGGTAGCTGCTTGAGGGTAGGTGCACCTGTTGATCTCAATCTCCTCAACCAGCCATCCCCGCCCACCTTTCCAAGCTCCTCCACGTGTCTCTGCACCTCCTCCTCGACGACCGGTGCCGACGGCGCTGCGGGTGCCGGTGCCGGGCTCTCGGCGGCTGGAGCGGTCTCGGCACTCATGGCTTCGGCGACCTTGATCTGCATGTTGGGCGTGAGATCCTTGAGATACTTCTCCTGCGCGAAGGACATTGCAACATGTGTCAGTGTCAACCAAGTGAGTGGAGTTGGAACACCTGACATCTGCCAGCACAAGCACACTGACGGGCCCACGAGGCGCCCACGAGGCGCCCCTGCCATCGAGGCGCCCACGAGCCGGCCGATCAAGTGACCAAAATGCCACACCATGTCCAGCCAGAGTTCAAAAGGGTTTTTTTGGAGGAGACGGGTACCAATTAATGAGTCTAATCAAGATCCATCCCACCATCTCCCAGCCGTCCTTCTGTTTCTCCGTCTTCAGCTTCTTGAGTGCCTGGAGAGGGCTGGCCCAACAAACGCTCAACAAATCCAGCCAGCAAAGCCTCCTTTGGTCCCATTCAGGGGCCCCTCTCTTGGGGTGATTTGTGGCCTCACTCTGGCTTTAACTGCTTGCGGAGTGTGGAGCACTCTTTTGAAGTTTCTTGGATTAGTGTCAGAGATGTTTTGTGGTCAACACAGTTTTGGGGGGAGCCCGTATTTCCATATTGGACTGCAACCCAGGAACAGGGGTGTCTTCTTGACACCTCCAATCTGCAGTTTTGTTGTGTTTTGGGGCGTTTTCGCTCTTGGATTCGCATGGATTCGTCTGCACGTCCATAAAGATGTCCTCACCATCAGGTAAATGAGAGCTCCACAGTGTCGCTCCCGTCCTTCACGTGGTTCTCGGCCGCTGTCGGCTTCCTCCTCTTGGCCTCGGGAGCTGCCGCAGCAGGGGCCGGGCTCGCCTTGCGCTTGCCTTTGGAGTCACCTCGGAGCAATAGGGCTCGGAAAAAACAGGAAACAACAAAAACAAAAAACATGTTTTAAGCTGTCGTTTCTTTTTTAGATTCAATTTGTTTCTCGGATGCAAAGCGTCAAAATCGCAACACTTTCCGATTCCAGAGGACCCTTGGGCTTGAATCGCCGAGGTGATGTCACATCCAGCTTTTGTCGCTGACCACAGGTGGCCCCCCCTCCGCCCCCCACCCGTCCGTCCCAGAACGCTCGTCCCAGCCACATGGCGCGTCAGCACCCTCCTTCTCCAACTTGGGATCGGTCGCACCGGCGTCGCACCGCTGCTCTGAGAGAGCCGCAGCGACTTGCAGGCGCATGTCCTCGGTGATGTTGGCCAGGTAGTCGTCCTGCAAACAAAAAACCATGGGTGGTTGCAGGACGCTCCAGGTCGTCGGGTGCTTGAACTAGCTCCACTTGGACGCCTTGTTCTGCAGCTGCAAAAGCTATGGCTGAGCAATAACAGCAAGTGATGCTTGTTGTGAATCGCTACGCATTTTGTTGCATCAAGTTATATAAATATATATGTTATTATATTTATATATATAGATACACACCCGCACACACCCGCACACCCGCACTCTGGAGAGAGAGAGAGAGAGACGTCTTTCTGCGCAAGTCAGGTCCCCCCCAAACCACCGACCTGTCCTAAATGTAGACTCTTGATGAATAAAACCAAGAGTCAACCCCCCACAAGGCCTGAACCATTTGCTCAATCCAAATGAATCAAGAGTCTACATTAAGAATCCGGACCTGAACCACTGGAAAGGCCTTTAAAGGGACCCCGGGGGTTGAGACCGGATCCAACCACCCAGACTCCAGACATGAGTCGTCTGGTGACCTGTCTGGCACTACCAATTCTGACTGGTTATCAGTTAGAAGCCATGAGGGAATGGATCCGTTGCACTGGATCCATCGCTTGCTAAAACAACCTGGAAAGTACCCCCAGACAGCTCCTTCTCCGCCTCGCTCGTGAGCTGCCGCAAACTTTCCTTGCCGATGGAAGCGATCGCAAGCCGCGTTTCCTTTAGGGCGCTTTCCGTGAACCACTGACCGGTGAGTCGGGTCTCCCGAAGAATTGGAGTTCATAGATGAAACCCCGTGTCCAACACGAGGTCTTTGACCCGGAGAGCACAAGCGCCATGAGGCGATGCCCCACCAAACTCATTGGAATTCCATTGGCATGGGCTCAACTTCAGTGGATCTATTCATTCAGGTTTCACCGAACCTTCACCAGAACCTTTCTGCACATTGACTCCTCCGACGGCGAGGGCTTTGGCTGCATAAAAGAAAAGCACACATACATCATCATCTTCTTCATCATCATCATCATCAATGTCAAAAGCTCTTCCAAGTAAGTGGTTTTGTGTGTGTGTGTGTTTTGTTGGGATACTACCGTTGACCCGAGAAGAGGCTGGAAAACACAAGAGCCATGGACTCTATGCGCTTCCTTCAAGGCTCCAAATGCACTTCCACTGCGCTCTGCATAGTAGGCGTGGGAGTCTTCTTGGCCTTCTTCGCTACAGACTGAGTGGAGCTGGGACTCGGCTTGTCAGCCTTGCCCTTCCTGACGAGTAGAAGATGGGCGCCGAGATGGACGACGGTAGAAGTTGGGCGCCGAGGACACCTGACCATCCCAGATCCCAAGCAGTTCCACAAATCGGTTTGATAAGTTGATGTGGAAGAAACATGAAGAAACTCTTTCTGCTTAGAGCTGCGAGATGCCTCAGAATTCTCATAGCACTTGCCGTGACCCTGCAACAATGTTGTACTTGTCATTAGTGGTTGTGACATGAGGTATAAACAACACCTTGTCAAGTGCAGCGGAGTAACCCCACCAAAATGGGACGGGGACAGTCATGAACATGGGCACAGCGCAAGGGCATATAGCACTGCAGCACGCAGGAGCTTCAGAGAAGGAAAGGGATGTGGTCCTTTGCGGGAGTCTGTTGCACGCCAAGGTCTGTCGATGTTTTCCGAAGCAATACCAAAGGTCCATTTTTAATGTTCAGGTTCCATGTTAATCCTCCCGGGTGTACTTCTTCAAGTTGAGATGTGAGATGGCCCCAGCCCAGCCCCTTGCTTCAGCCTGTCTGGCACTGCTTGCCTCCCTTCCCTTGACAGTCGCGCCCAGGAGTGCCTTGCGGATTTGCCTTTGGCAGCCTCGGGCGGCCCATGCCCCGCTTGCCTCCCTTTTGAAGGTTCCTGACATTCCTTGAGGTTTTCTGGGTGCTTCCACTAGAAAACCCTTCAAAAGAACATGCCATCTTCGGGTCAGCTGGCATGAGCTTTGTCTGCTCCCAGCGACATCCGTTTCGATGCGACCTGCACTCAGAGTAAAAGAAAAACCTTTGAACGCAATATCTAAAACAACCAGCGTTGATGCAACATGTTGTTCCAAACAACCACGTTTACTATGTCTTGCCCAGACTTCTAGACTACAGGACTACACTATATAGATTCGTCGCATTTCTCAAGCCTCCCAGCGGTCAATGAAGCTGAGCACCCTTCCTTTCGTGGAGTCATTGCCATAGGATGGCAGTGCATTCTAGCTTCTGTTGCTTGAAGCGGTGTCCGTTCCATCACCCTGATTCCAAACATGTCGGCATGTCCATGCGTGCCTCCTCGGTCTTGGGGGAGCTTGAAGAGGCAGCCTTGCCATCCTGGTCACCATTCTGAGAGATTCCCATACCGGCTGAGTTGAATATTGTGAACCTCGAGGAGCGTGTGATTTTGAAATGTTCATTGGCCAATGGCTCGAAACATTGTTGAAGTGAAAGGGGTGATGAAATTAGGGCCCGGTACCAGTCCACAAGTGTCAAAATCAGAAACAAGTTTGAAACAAGCGCATTTGGCACTCCTAAAATGAAAACAAGAAGAATGTCCAGCTACTTGGGTTCCTCGCACAAAAAGAAAACAAGTAACAAAATGTATATATATAAGCAATGTTTGATACATCACACATATAATTGCATATAATTGTAATATATATATATATTAATATGTATAATTAAAAAAGAGAGTGTGTGTGTGTGGATGCTGACCCAAAGCATCTTATGGGAATAATGGAAGTGGAATGTGCAAACGCACACTCTCCTCTACAAAGGGGCCATGATCAGCTTGCAGGATACCAATCCAATACCGGATTACTCAACATCACCTCAACATCTGCAGGTCAAACGGCGCCGATATTTTCAAACTGCCGCGTCATAAAGTTTTGGTACATGGACTGGCTTGCTGAGGCAACCCCTACCTCTGCCTACATTGACCATGAGCGAATGCCAAGGTCGGTTGGGACAGGAATACCGGACTATATATATTTTTTATATATATGTATTACTGTAATAGAGAATAGAGCTTGTTCTTGTGGACTCAGGCACAAAACAACCATCGCTTGCAAACGGTCCCTTCGTCATCCTCGTTTGTTGTTCAGAAGTTGAGGGCGACCCTCCAATCACAGCACCTCAAAAGGACCTGTTCGGCTTCACTACGGCAAAACCTGCTGTTTGAGCTGTTTGTCGGGTTCACAACAGCGACCCCGTTCAGCTCTTCGTTCGTTGAACTTCAAGAAGATCCCTGTACAAGCGCGAAAATCAGTTGCCTTAAACGGTTTAGGTTCCAATGCTAGCTCTGCTGCCTTCGAAGTCAAAGATCTTGGAAGGTTGTTAGTTAATGAGTTGCCTGAATTATCTTGAGATGAATATTTACGCAAATGTGGGATAGGGCTGGATAGGGGCCTCATGTCGTGCAAAACATGTTCATGCTGTGTTCGGGCGTTTACCGTGCGGTTGTGCGCAGTGGAGTTTTGACCAAACCTATCACATATCCGTTTTGTGTCATGTGTGTCTGATGTGTATATGTATGCTATTATTGTGCGTATCTATCTATCTATTTATCTATCTATCTATCTATCTCTCTCTCTCTTCAGTTCCACCATGACCGACTCCACCCTTGGACCGTCCGCCTCTTCCGTGCGAGACGTCCGCTGCTTCTTCGCGGGGCCTCGGTCCGATCCCTCGACCTCTGCCAAGGCAACGCCCCGTGGCTGACGGGGTGGTGGACAAGGGTGGTTCGCCCGACTCAGTCAACGGAGGATTTAGAAATACCGAAATACCATCTACACGTACTTGGGATCTATCTCATGATTGAAGTTATATACCACAACCAATTCCATATCATAGAATCATAACGTATACAACTGCAGAAGACTTCCTCTCTCACCCGGTTCACCAGTGTAAGCTCCGCCCCTCCGCCCGGACAGTTGATTGTTGAAGGGTATTCGACAAGAGATTTCGTGGTGACCATTTGAAGGGCCCTGGCATGCTGGCATGCATTCTGCAACATCCCTTTCCCTCAAACCGGCCCCAATCCGGCGATGCTTCACGCCACCGAAACAGGAGCAACGGTGTCTTTGCTCATGGAGCACTGCAGCTTTCCACCATCACGGGGCTGATGCGCTCTACTTTTACCGCAGCAACTGCTGGCTCTGGTGCTTCTGGTGGTTCCACAGCTTCTGGTGGTTCCACAGCCGGAACAGGAGGACGCTTTCGCTCATCACACGCTGCTAGGAGTCCTTCCATTCCATCTGCAACTGGCTCAGCGGGGCGTTCTTCCTTTTCCTCAGGTGCTCTTGGCTCTGATGTTGCTTCTGGTGGATCCACAACTGGAACAGGAGGACACTTTCGCTCATCACGCGCTGCAGGTTCTGAGGGTGCTTTCACTGCATCTGCAGCTGGCTCAGCGGGGCGTTCTTCCATTACCTCCGGTGCC